TATAGGGTTTCCTTGTCGTGATCTTGATGGGTGCAAATCACCAGGCCTTTCTGGGTGTGTTCAAATAACCCATCTTTAAGTTAGTAGCAAAGTGCTTAACTGTGGAAGCCAGCCAGGGGCCTTACCCTGCATGATCACTTATACAGAAAACCTCACCAGTGTTCAAAATCTATTTCCTTGTTTCCCTACTAGCTGGTCTATAAGCCATATTTGTTGTTTTTGTTGAAGCGGTGTGCCATTTTTGATATCCATCAGAAAAGCCCTGTTCCAGAACAGTGAAAGTTAACACCCAAATCTCAGTGGCTTAAAAGAACAAAGGTTTACTTTGTGCTCACATCTGCCCTCCATTGAGGATTGGCTGCATCCTCACTCCAGGATGTGGGCTGACGAATCAGTCGTTCTCTGTGCCAGAGGCTCTTAGGCCTGTCACTGAAAGTGCGGGCCTGGATGTGGCAGTCACCTCATTTCTACTCACAAAGAGACATTTTCCTTCATCGTTTTAGATCTCTACATGTGGAGACAGACTGCTAGTGGATTCTCTTAATTCTGTATGGTACCCTAGTATTGGGATACATATTGTACTCACCTTACAGTATCCTAATTGATGGACATCTAGTGGTTACCATTTTTCCTTTGTCACAATTGTTGCAGTAAACATCTTTGTGTGTGTCTGTTACCCAATGCACACATGCAAGTTTCTCTAAGAATTAGTTCCTTTCATCTTCGACAATATGTTCAGAGAGATGAACCTAAATTGTAACATTTTGTAGTTTTCCAAAATGTCCATTTCTAATGTCTGTACACCTCACCACGGCAGAAACCTTTTTTTTTCTTTTTCTTTTTTTTCCCCAGAAAACAATGAATGAGTTGATTTGTTTATTTTCTGGTGGAAATCTTGTACAGTTTGGACCTGGATTCATGCAGAGCGTATTTGATGAATATTTCAGAAATAATTTTTTTTTAAGATGGCATCTAGTTTAAGAAGACGGAATAAAAAATACATGCAAACATTCAGTATCTAAAATGATTTCTCTTGTTATGCACAGAACAGTCTCTTAGCAGTGATTCAGCTAAATTTATCAAAACATCAGAATTTCTTGGCTTTAAAATAATGAGTCATGGCGGAGAGTAGTGTAAACACCTTCTTCCATTTTCAGGTTTCATCCACAACTTATGCAGGAGAAGTTTAGGTTTAAGAAGACACTGATATCAGGAACATAGGGAAAATTTTACATTTAAAATATGGCAGCATCTTGAAAAAGCACTAAAATACAACGAAAAACAAACTCACTGCCATCAAGTCACTTCCAACTCAGTTGACCGTACAGAACAGGGTAGTACTGCCCCTGGGCAGTTTCCAGACAGTAACTCTGTGGGAGTAGAAAGCCTCATCTTTCCGGGGGAGCAGCTGATTGTGTCGAAATGCTAATGTTGCGATTAGCAGCACCCAGCATGTCACCACTTCGGCTCTTAAATGTACATAAAGGAACATAAAATTTTCTATGGAGGTGAGAAATGAACACAGGTAAATGAAAGCCATTTATATTATCGTTTAAACGAATTACAGTTGTTTCTCTCTTTATTCCCTTTTTACCTTAACCAACCAACTGCTGTCAATTTGATTCCAACTCATTGTGACCCTATAGGACAAAGTAGAACTGCCCCTGTGGGTTTCTGATGCTTAAATCTGTACAGAAGCAAACTGTCCCATACTCTTCCCGTGGAGCAGCTGGTGGTTCAAACCGTGGACCCCTCAATCCTCAGCCCAACCCACTGGGCCACCCTCGGGGCTCCATACCAAAGCTGCTGATAAGACATTGTTCGATGCTTTCTCCAATAGTTGACAGGGAAAGCTTCAAAATGGCTCAAAAATGAGTAGGAGAAACAAGAAGAAGATTCCAGGTTGTAAAAAAATAACTTAGGAAATTATTTGGCACCCCCTGCTATAGTTTGTTTTGTTTTTTCTTCAAATGAGACCTCTTCAGTTTTCAGTGCTTACCAATATGCAGCCAAAGAAAGAACGTGGGCAGGTTCTGCCTCTCGGAACAGCTGTGGCTCGGGGAATATGAGATTTCTGGTCCAGAACTAGATGGGGTTTTTTCTGTGTCTGTACAGCTTGTTCCATCCATTCTATGCTACCTTAAAAGACACTTTATTTTTCACTTTGCATGTACTAAAAGTCTTACCGGCTGTAAGTTCGGCTCCATCCTGTGCCCTGGCTCTCCTGCTTTCACGGCCTGCTCCTCCTGTCACCCTCTATCAGTATAACAACCGGAGGCCAGGGTGTGCATGCCTTTCTGCAGGACACACAATCATACACATGTATGGGCTGGCTTTCCTTCCTTTTTTCACCACCTCTCCCAATGTATTAATCTTATAATTTGCTATGCAGATTATTTTTAATTTAAAAGCAAATGTCGTGAGAGGTTTCTTTTGCAGTTACAGACGGCGTATGTCCGATTCCTTCAAGGTCCTCGCCACTCTGAGCAAGAACTCACTTTGTGCCTAGAGTCCCCACTCTTTGATGTTTACCTCTGGGCATTGATTCCAAAATGGGGTCAACGGAGTGCCCTGGGGTTTTTGCTCAGCTGACCTTTTAGTGATGTCTTTATATGGAAATAGAATTTTTTTAAATGAAAATCTAGTTTACTGCTGCTTGGTTTACTTTTCGAAGGCACACAGGAGCGCCTGCCTCTAATCTCCTTTCTTGTGCCCTCCCTGTGTGTATTCATGTTGTGACCATTGCCTTTCCTTCTGTGCCTTTCAAGACACATTTCAGTTCTGCACACGTACATGAAACAGTAAAAATTGCCATGGAGAAAAAAAATTTTTCCCAAACAAAATGGGGTCAATAACTTATGTACACTTTGGGTCACCTCTGTCATACTTTTCTTCCTAGAGAACAGTAGAAGAAGCTATCTAGTCAGCTGGTATAAATCTCATTCTTTCTTTGCAATGACGGCCTCATGTAGCCTTATGGAGTCGTCGCCTTGAGTCATGGTAACTGGTGGTGAAGATAGACTGTTGGTTGCCACACCCCTCTGTTTCAAAGTCTCCCTTTTGAAGGGCATGTACTTTGCTTCCAGTTGTTTTAAATTTAATTTGGACTCCAGAGACTGCTGCAGTGTGCACTCATACCTACCTTTGTATTTCTATTTGCATGGTCCAAGAGAGGACTTAGCTGCACGCTTGTCGTTTTAAAAGATGTTGCCAGACCTTTCCAAAATATTGATCCCAGCAATGTTCTGAACACCCTTTTCCCCCCTGTAGAAGCAGGCAAAGGCTTCCTTGTTTAGATACAGTGGAGTACATGTAATACTGATTGTCTTCCTTGCACAGGAGATCTTGAACCCAGTTTACTGGTAGGGGTCTAGTCAGCCTGTATGAGGGAGAGTGCGATTTATTTTTCTATTCTATTTCTTGAAGAATTCACAGACAATAATGGTTGTACAGCATGATGAATATAATCAATAACACTGAATTAAGCAAGCAGAAGTTGTGGAATTAAAGAATGTTCTGTTTTGTATATTTTTGCCACCATTAGAAAAAATAATGATAATTACATGAATAACAATGACTACAAAGAAGAAGAAAATGTTCTAGAATTGAATATGGAGACAATTGTATAGCTCTTATTGATATGATTGAATTATTGAATTGTATGATGTGGATGAAGTGCTAATAAAACTTTTTTAAAAAAAAAGAATTCCTAGAAAGTTTCTAGCTAAAGGAAGCCAGAGACCATTCTAATGACTTCTGCTCCCTGCCCAGATGAGGACAGGGGACTCAATGTGGGCTAGCTACTGGCCCTGCTCCTAGAAAGCAGTGGTTCCCAATCCTAATTTCAGGGCTTGCCCTGTTCTGTAGTACGAATCCGTCACTGTGGGCTACGCTGATGCTGAAGAGCTAATAAACGCCGTGCATAAACTGAATAGAGTAGTGGAGCTGAACTGTTCCTAGGTTTCTGTTATCCCTGGCCAGGACAAGGAACCTTCCAAGCCTACAATGGGATCTTCGCATTCTGCTTTGCAAACTTCCACGAAGGTAATAAGATTTCAGTAACTTGGTCCCGTCAGTGGAATGTATTGCTCCAGATCTTTTGGGGTCTGGGGTGTTGTGGTTCTGTAATGTTAACCGTATACAAGTGACCGAGTGTGTTGCAGAGATTGTCTGGAGTTGGTGGTTTGGTGTTGGCTTGCTGGTCAATGACCACAGCTCTTCTGGTTTATAGTTCCTAAGCCTGCAGATTGGAATCACTGGGGAACTTTAAAAAACAAAACACTGTAATCTAATACCTGGTCTGCCTCCCTAAGTCAGAAACTGGCTGAGGTACAGCTGGAGATGGAGAGAGTGTTTCCACTTCATGCAGAGTCAAATTAGAGCCTATCTGAGCTTTTATCTTTACAGTTCCCTGACCATGGGGTTCACTAAGCCTCCCCGCTTTCCCTTCCAGTTTGTTCTGTGGGGTAAAGCTGTCCTGGCCCAGTTTATAAAATCACTTAGTGAGGCAGACATTGAGTGCTGTCAAAATGACCATTGAAAGGCCCCCAGAAAGGCATTGTGTGTGTTAGACTTCAGCCAACATCTCTCAGGACACCCAGCATAGCCAGTGTTCCTTTGGCAGCAGAACGGGTCACTCTTTCTTTGTGAGCCATTTTGAGTGCAAAACATCTATCTTTAAATATTGGAATTGTACCCAGCTTAACAAAGCACTTGGGGACTGAGACTGGCTTTTGGAACCATGGAGTCATATTTCTTCGCATGCTCAATTTGGGGGCAGACTTGCATGAAATCGAATGTAGGGAGAGTCAAAGGTTCCTTTTAAATTGTGAGCTGCTCACTGCGTGTGTCTTCTTTTAGACGATGTGGATCTTAACTGTGCAATTAGATAGACATGCTCTACTGTTACTTAATGCTCAAGAATTGCACATTTTGTGGGTTCAAATTGCCCCTTTCTAAGTGTGTAGACTTCAACAGAGCCTTTTCTTTCTGTCCTCTAGCATTCCCATGGTTTGGCATGGATATCGGTGGAACGCTGGTTAAGTTGGTCTACTTTGAACCGAAGGATATTACAGCCGAAGAGGAACAAGAGGAAGTTGAGAATCTGAAGAGCATCAGGAAGTATTTGATATCTAACACAGCATATGGGAAAACGGGCATCCGAGATGTCCACCTGGAACTGAAAAACCTGACCATGAGTGGGCGCACAGGGAACCTGCACTTCATCCGCTTTCCCAGCTGTGCAATGCACAGGTTCATTCAAATGGGCAGCGAGAAGAACTTCTCCAGCCTCCACACGACTCTCTGTGCTACAGGGGGTGGGGCTTTCAAGTTCGAAGAGGACTTCCGAATGGTACGTTGGTTTGTCCTTGTCAAGTAACTGCAAAACCACCTCTCAGGCAAAAAAGAAAATCCCCTTAATCTCCATATCTCATACCAACAATGTTTATTATCCCCCACACCACCCCTTGTGACTTAGGACAAGTTTACTTCAACTCTGTGTTCCAGTTTCCTCATCTATATGAAAATAGAAAGCTCCTACTTCATAGGGTTATTGCAGTAAAGACTAAATGAGATTCTGTGTGAAAATGCTTAGTATCAGTTAAAATTCTCTCTCTCTTTCTCTCTCTCTCTCTCTCTCTCTCTCTCGGGAGTTACTACAGTGTAATGTAGTTACTACTGTGTGATATCCTAAAGGCTCACTGATGTCATCAAGTGGATGGATCCTGGCTCACGACAACTCTACCGGGCAGGGTAGAACTGCCCCACAGTGTTTCCAAGGCCGTGTATCTGTTTGACGGTAGATTGCCAGCCACACCTTTCTTCCACACAAAAGGGCTGATCTGTTCCAGCCACCAGCTTTTCGTTTCAGTCAGCAGCTCGGTGCTTAAACCACTGCACCACCAAGACTAGATAGTATATGCTTTCTTCCGAAATATTTCAGTTAGAAGTTTTCAGCCTCTTACTACTGTTTGCTGAGAAGCATACTAGTTTGATACATACGGACTGTTTTAAACATAGATACATATAGTTTTATATATATGGACTATGCGCATATAGGCTGAGGCCTGCAGGAAGGTCTTCTATGACGTCTAAATATCACTACTTCTGTCACGATAACCCACTTGCTCTCCTAAGTATCCTGTCTTAATGACATTTAGAAGCTTCGCGCAGAAAAAAGAGAGAGATCTTTGGCGCCATTTATAGATGAAGTCTTTTACTCAATAAAGAATCCCATTTAAGAAGTGTGGAGTCCATCAGTAAGAATAATGCTGTGGGGGGATTGGGGATCAGGAAATTTAAAAAGAATAATGCTGTATCCTGGCTAGCATTGTATCTCTTGCTCAGTTAGTTGCCACAACTTGGCTAAGTAGCAGGTGGTGTGGGTGAGTAATATACAGGCCTTAGTTTCTCTGTATATAATGATACCCTAGCATCTGTGCATTTCCTTTCTTGTATGGCCAAGACCATTGATCTTTATAATGCCCACCCTCATCTCATAGGGCTTGCTAAGAATACAGTGAAATAGGAGATATAGTTCAGAAAACAAAGCCGGACAGATAAACAGAAACGTGCCTAGGTGGCACAAATGGTTATACATTCAGGAACTGGCTGAATGCATGTTGACTGGAACCCACTCAGCAGTCCTTAAAAGATAACGCCTGGTGATTGCTTCGGAAAGGTCACCGCCTTGAAGCAATGGTTGCAATCCAGTGGGAAGAGGAGGATGAATTTCTAGGATATCAAGACTAAATGTAATCTTTGGACACCAGGAACTACAGCTTTCTTGTGCCATATAGGTGAGGTAACTGAAGCTTAAAGGAATTAGGAGAGCCTCCTGAGTAAGAGGGAGGCAGCAATTCTGAGCCAGAAGAAAATTCTGACTCACCCCCAGTGCTTTGAGCCCCGTAGATCTCTCAGAGATACCCTATCTGGTCCATCTCCACAAGAAAACACAAGTTGAACCCAAGTGACGGGAGCATTTTGCAAACTTGGGGGTGGGGGTGGGGAGTGCCTCCTTCCCTCCCTTGCGTAATATATGTTCTAGAAGAAAGATCATCTCTATTGACCATGGGTAAGTCTATTTCTCACAGTTCTGGACTGAGAAGGGCCATATCTAATTAGGACAGATTAAGAAGTCTGTACTTAAGGCGAGCTAAGCTCTTGGAACCTCATGAAAAGACTGGAGGCAAGAGCCAGTGCAGGCTGTTGTGCTAAGCAGCCCGGCCAGGCCAGCACCATCTGTAAAGGAAAAGTACATGAGGTGCCTTCTTCTTTTTTTTTAATCGTTTTATTAGGGGCTCATACAACTCTTATCACAATACATACGTACATCAATTGTGTAAAGCACCTTTGTACATTCATTGCCCTCATCATTCTCAAAACATTTCCTCTCCACTTAAGCCC